CACCCCCCATTCTCTCTCCCCCAATCTTGTTCTGACGATGTTAAACTTTTATAACTTAATTGTTAATGTGTAGTAACAAAATTCCTTCTAGATGAATTAAATTAAGAACTTCACTCTACTTTAATTACTCCTCGAAAATTACCTGCAAAATAGTAACAATCAATTGGATAAACACTGGTATGGTGTTGGTCAAGAGCTCTCCGATGCTTAAGTAAGCAAAAATATCTCAAGGAGATGTGTGTTTTTCATGAAAGCTACAGGAGGATTTTCGAATTGATCACCCTTTTTGTGTATTCCTTGGCTATAAATAGGGGAATTATCTTGTAGCCATCTTTGGAATTATTAAGGGCCCTTTATTTAAAGAGATAGATGAGAGTATGGAAATTGAATGTAATCAGCTTTCCATTATAGCTAATTAAATGAGAATTTAATCAACATAATTAATGTGATCTAGGACAAGTTTGACATTTATTTGCATTTCCACTTGAGGTCATTAGAGTGGTCGTGAAATTATTTGCTCCCACAAATGGATCAAAACTATAACGAGAGAAACTACTAACTTTAAATAAGGACTAAAGTGAAAATCGAGTCAGACAACAATGACCATAACATAATTTGACTTTTTTTCCAGAACAAATTGCAGCCCAAGAGGCCCAAAGCCCAACAATGTCTCCTCTCAAGTGTATAGCTGCTCTTCTTTAAAGGTGTGAGCTTTTTTTCCCTTGCTCGTGAGAGAGTGCTTTGGGGTCTCATCTCATGTAAGCACGTTTGAGCAGAAACCTTTCATCAGAATCAGAAATGGGTCGTGGTAGGGAGAGATGGATCAAACACTACAGTAGCGCACAAGAGATATTGCTGGTTGGTGAAGGAGACTTTTCATTCTCTGCTTGTTTAGCTCGAGCATTTGGCTCTGCTCGCAACATGGTAGCAACTTCTCTCGAATCTCAAGGTACATTTTTCAAAAACACAGCTTTTATGTTCATGGGTACTCTTTAAGATGTGACCAATAAATCTTTGTTCATTTTCAGCGCTACCCCTGTTTTTTGGTGAACCATTTTTGGGGTTTCTTTATTTTTTGTTTTTCAGTGATTAATTTGATGAAAGATTCAATTTTTAGGTTCTTTAAGGGCCAAACATAGGAGCTGTTTATCACACTTGAGTGGCTTGAAGAGGAGAGAGTGCTTGGTGTTGCATGATGTTGATGTGTATGAGATTGACCTCCATCCCGCTCTGCAATGGAGGAAATTTGATGTCATCATCTTCAACTTTCCTCATGCAGGCCATTTCCCCTGGCTACGTGAAAGAAACCCTCAGCTCATTCAGTAAGTGACCCTAAATTATTTAACTAGAACAAATAATTAGTAGTTAGTTGTACACAGATGTCAACCCTAACAGTTTGTTTTGATTGGATTGCATTTGTATGAGATTTGTGCAGCTTAAGTTTCTTAATTACCCTTTCCAGGAATGAATGATTATGAATGCTCAACATTTTTCTACCACACAAGTCCCTCTTTTATATTCTTTTGGAAAATCATCAACATCCAGATCTATCAACAAAACCAGTGATGAATTCATTGTTATGTATGAACTGGTGGAGAATTTGACATTTTATTGAAGAAGAGAGGTGGAGAATTTGACATTTTATTGAAGAAGAGGTGGAGAATTTTATTTGATTGGTATCATATCCAAGGATGCTATATTTTCCCAATTGTCTTATCAAGTGTTTCATGGCTAATCAATGTTATTCAATGCAGTGGTGAAGCTGCAGGCCTATAATTAGTTACATAATTATTCGCTACCATATAGTATTCTGAATTAGTTACTTAGTTTCCCTACCTTGGGGGCTAATTGATTTGGGCGTTGAATGGAAGCAGAATGCACAAGAACTTGTTGAAAGCCTTCTTCGAAAATGCCCGTGGGATGCTGAGGGAAGGCGGGGAAGTTCAAGTTGCAACCAGAGATGACTACCCATATAACAGATGCCCGTGGGATGCAGAGGAAGCAGGCCTGGTTTTGATGGAGAAAGTGTGGTTCAAAAAATGGGACTACCCTGGGTACCAGAACAAGAGAGGGGGCGACATCAAGAGCAACAAAACGTTTCGTCTCAGAAATTGTTTCACCTTCAAATTTGCACTGCAACAATATGAGTATGACTGTACTTGTGATGAAATGTCTGTTTGCAGCGATGACCATTATATGATTATGTGATGTGTTTGGTAGTAGTAGTGTCCTTTTTGTTGTGCGGAAGCGGATTGCATAGGGTGGACAATACGGAACCGTTGAAACAACAAGACAAATATGAAAATAGCAAAATCCAAGAGACACAAGGATTTATACTAGTTCGGCCCGTATGTAGCCTACATCCAGTTCGAAGATGGCAAGAACTTCCACTAGTATCCCAAACAAAGGAGATTAAACACTCTCACCTAATTTAGGAATTACAGAGTTTAACTCTCACAACCCAAATCCCAAATACATCCAAATCACTCACACACAGATACCAAAAGAGAAAGAGAGGCTACAAATATATGAAGAACACTTATAAACAAAGAAGTTCTTCACATCACCATCTCTTCCTCATGCAAAAGGTGCAGCAGCAAAGACATCATGGTGCATACGGCTTGCCCCATGGCAAGAGCACTCTCTCACCTATTGTGCTCACCAAAACTGCCCACAGATAACTCTCTGCCAAGCCTTCATTATATAACAAAGAACTTGGACCAACAGCCGCATGAGCACCTCCAAAGTCCTCCACAAAACAAGGGACATTAATGCACCGAAATAACTCAACCACCAGCATTGAAAAGAAACCAGCCGCTCCTCATCTGCTGCCAATAAAGTCCCTAATTAGGCATAGCTCTAGTTGGCATCTCAAAGAACCCAAGAGCCAAAAGTAGTAGCAACAATACAAAGTTTATTCTACTTTTCTCTTTTCTCTCTCTAAAGCTCACGGCTGCCACTCCTAATTTTTTTTTGGTTACATTGGAGGAAAGAAACCCCACTGGGGTTCGATCCTGGGTGCCATGGGGGGAAGGGGGAATCCACCACCACTGTGGTGGGAACCCATTGGCTGCCACTCCTAATTTTGCAATCAATATGATTGCCCCATAGCCCAAGTGGCTAAATAAATATGGTAGCCAATCCGTGAATTAAGGGACAAACTTGCTTTTCCCATTTTCAGGTTGCTTCACATGGCTTTTGTTCCCTTCTTTTTGACAAAGGCTGACTTGAACCAACATTCCCTTCCTTTGATAGCTTTGCCCACGTGCTGCATGTCTTCCTTTTGTACTTTTTGTTAATATGAAATTCTATCAACAAAAAACTGTTCCTTTGCTTTCGGCAAATGCATGAGAAAGGAAAGAATAATCTCTTCCTTTCTTCAACACTTTTGAAGCAGAAGGTGGTGGTGATGCATTAGGCCTTAAAAAATAAGATTAAATCAGCAAAAGTTAAAAATTTAAAATTTTACCCATACTCACCTCCACCTACCCTTACCTCAGTCGCCACTCTAGTTTTTTTTTTTGTTTTTTTTTTGTTTTTTATAAATTCCATTAGTTTTTCAAACTTTTAACAAATAAAAATATTCTCAAACTTTTAACAAATAAAAATATTCTCAAACTTTTCATCTTCTTGTCTCCCTCCTCCTCCTGCACTACTCTTCATCACAAGATACTTTTCGTCTTCTCTCTTTATTTATTTTGTTGGAAACTACCATCTGTATTGAAAGCCTTCATTTAAGCACAGTCCCTTTAGCTCTCTCAGTGCTATTATATAAAGTGAAATAAGTCATTCCATGAGAATACAGTATTTGCAGAAACTTGAGTTTAAATCAATAATGGGTGAGAAAAACAGACAAATAGGACACTACTCTAGCTCTCAAAAGATCTTGTTGGTTGGAGAGGGAGACTTCTCATTTTCTGCTTGTTTGGCTCGAGCTTTTCGCTCTGCCGCAAACATGGTGGCTACCACTCTTGAATCTGAAGGTACATTTTTCAGATATACCCTGTTTTTAATTTTCTTCTTTTGTTTCACATTAGCTAATTAATTTAATCAATGTAAATTTCTTTTTTTTGAATTTCAGATACTTTATGGACGGAACATTGGAGCAGTGAGGCACATTTGGAAGAGTTGGAGAGAAGAGGATGCTTGGTGTTATATGAAGTTGATGTGTATGAAATGCACCAGCATCCCACCCTTATGCGCATGAAGTTTGATATTATCATCTTCAACTTTCCTCATGCAGGCCATTACTCTTGGCTATGCGAAAGAGACGATGAGCTCATACAGTAAGTGACCAAGTTGATCAAATTTGTCACAATTGCTTTCATATAACCGAAAGCTTTCATTTCCAATTATCTTGTCATATATATTGCACGGTTAATCAATTTTGTTTAATCTAATGGCGGCTTCGTTTAAGCTCTTTATTAATTTTTCATATGCTATACATGTATTATACACATATATATATCTTGTTTTGGTGGGTCGGTTTGCACTGGATTGGAATTGAGTCTAAGCTAGTACTTATGAGCTTCGTCACTCTAAATGGGACTTCTAATATACAATATGTTGGTATGTTGTCCCAACATTTATAAGTTTGCTAAATAGCGATTAGGACATTAGTATCCAGACCGAGCCACTAAACGAGGTTAGTTACTTAATTACTCTGCTCTTTAGTGATCAATTTTGGGGGGTTCTATTGAATTAGAATGCACAGGGATTTGTTGAAAGCATTCTTCAAAAGTGCCCGTGGGATGCTCAGCAAAGGTGGGGAAGTTCATGTTTCACACAGGGATGACTACCCCTACGATCAATGGAAGTTAAAGGAGCTTGCAGAGAAGGCCGGCCTGGTTCTGAAAGAGAAAGTGTGGTTCGAAAAGTCGAACTACCCTGGTTACCACAACAAGAGAGGAGGAGGCATCCAGAGCAACAAAAAGTTTCCTCTCAATGAATGCTACACCTTCAAATTTTCTCTGAAACATGAAACTTCTCATGAATTAAAGCCTGCTTGCAACCAAACAACTAGCACTCTAAGTGATGATATATCAGATGCTTTAAATAGTATGCATTTGAAGTAAAAGGCATGCAAGAACAATTGCGGATCTAGGATTCTCGGGTGGAGGGGGTTACAATGTAAAAGCTTCGAAAATTTTTTAGAAGAAAATAACATTAAAAAAAAACTGAAAAATAGTACTTTCCATCCAAACTTCAATTGTACACTATGAGTTTTCTTTTAAAAACATTGCATTATAGCTTCATAAATCATTTATTTTTTAATAATTTTAGGCACTTTTGTTAATGTATCATCAAAAAGAGAATATCATTTTTTCTAAAGAATAAAATTATAATGTATAGAGACTACAATTATATTTTAAAAAATTAAAATGAAACAAGCCCAACCCCCCACTTTATAAAAGAAAATTAAGAAAAAACAAAAAACAATACCTCCCATTTTCTTTTTCACAGTTGCTTGGGCCTAAAATTGGTGCGCCCAGTCCAAGGTCAAAAGCCCACATCGTTTTTTTGACAGGCCACCTGTTCGGACCTAAAATTGACACACTCAGCCCATCGACGCGCCCAGCCCGTTAAAAAATTAAACAAGCCAAAACGATACACTTGGCCTAAACATTGGAGGCCTGTAAGCAGTCAAAACCAAGAAGAAACCTGGGCCTCGAAAGGAACCTAAATCAAGCTCGAAACCAAGATGGGCTTGGCAGGTTTTAAATTGAAGAAGGAAAAGAGAAGCCCAAAAGAGAAACATACTCACGTGACTTACCTGACTTTGAAAAGTCAAAAATTTCAACTAAGTCACAAAGAGAAGTTACAAGAATTTATGAATACACGCTTGCAGAAAATTTCTCCAGACTTTTACAGGCAAAGAAAGATGAAAATCCTTTTTTATATATATAAATATATATATATATATAGAAAACTCGGCAGACACTATTCTCAAAGGATATGCAGCCGCCCATTTCTTTTAAAAGATTAAATCCCACCCCAGCATTGTCTATAAATATGAGAGGAGATGAACGGAAATGGGACATTCAATCAAACAACCAAAAAAATCAGTCAAAAGACAAACACTCAAAATGATCACTTGATCTCAGAGAACCTTCAAGCAAATTGAAGCAACCAAAAGCTAGCTAAGCCATAAGAGAAGCCAGCTACAAGTCAAAGCTTTTAGTTTCCAGACTTAAAAGAAAATCAATTAAAACGAGATTTCTCTCGTTACAAATTTGGTTCAGCAAAGCCAAGGCAAGCAGGGTTTGAGTTTTCACAAATACGAAAACCTGAACAAATTTATGGAGAGCCCTGACTAAGCAGCACAGGTACCACAGTACAGCTCCAGCTTAAGTCCAGCCACTTCTGCCCCCTTTCTAGACTGAAGAAGTCCTAGTTCTGCCCATCTAAAAGCCTTCCAGGGCTTGAAATAGATTAAAGCTCTGCCAAACTCCAGCTTTGGTATCGATTTGCAGCTAAAGCCTAGTAGCTGAAGTTGTTGAAAGTCCAGTCTAGCACAGGCATACCCAGTCCAGCCCAGAGCAGAAGTATCTACCCAGACAGAAATGGAAGCACAGCCCTCTTTTTGTCTTTTTATAGTCAATTTTTCCTTTTTGAGCTTTGTAAAAAGGAGTTCTGCCTGAAAGCGTTTCACTCTGTTATCATTTATTCTGGTCAGAACTACCAGTTTTGTACTGGAAAAAATTGTGAAGTCCTCACCAGTCTGAGGCAGGAAAAGAACTTACTTGGGAGATATTCCTCACCCAAATTCACAGTCGCTTGTTCAAAAATCAGTAACTTGGGGTGTAAGTTATTTATTTTTAAAGAAGTCTGCTAGGATTTTCATTGCTAGCAATGGCACGCTTGCACACTAAAGAAAGTTGACTTGTTGACCAGTCAATGGTTTTCAAGACAATGGGGAACTTTACCCTACTGTCACAGGAGACAAATCAAAACGGGTGAACAACAGTTTCACTCTTTGCAACATTCACCCCAATCCTCTCTTCCGTACCTTCTCAACTTTTATAAAAAAAATAAAAATACTACATATAATATAACATGTTTGATGTTGTTGGCGTGCCTACATTCCTCTTCCCATTCCCTGCCACTTAAACTTTTGCTACTTTTAATACTTTTAATATTATAGTTTGAGTTTTTCTATTTAAATCCCACACTTTTCTTTGTTCACCTCAATACTTAAATCATTAAGCTCTTAAGATTTATTATTGTGTAAAAGGACAAAAAAGATCATCTAACTTAATACTTAACCCTAGTACATCTATACACACACCCCACCACTTGTGGATCGTCAATTAAGGTATATAATGTGAGATTATTTCTTGGTTTGGGACTCCTCCCAGAATTATTGAGGATGTTATGATCAAAGACTTTTATTCGGTCGTGATTGTGTGAGTTATGGGTAAATATTGCTCCAGGGCAGTAGTTCTCCAAGTCTTGGTCACAGGTCTCACATTTCATGCAGGAACCCACTACGACCCCAACTCCTACACGATCACCTACTTTGAATTTCTTCACATTCTTCCTAGTTTTGGTCACAACACTAACAATTTCATGCCTGGAAAATCAATTGAAAAACACACACATGAATGATTTCACTGGAATAATAAAATGATTATTTCTGCTAGGTGCTGCAAAACGCAGAGATACAACAACCAATTCCCACATGAATGCAATTTTTGATAAGATATTTGATCATATGCAGAGGTAAACAAAATCAAAACCATTTTGAAATGCAAATATTTAAAAAAAACACTAATATGCATGTTAAGTTTTTGTGGGGTGTGGGGTGTGAGGTTGATAAGTTTTTTATTTTTATTTTTTTTGTTGGGTGTGTATTTAGAGGTAGTTTGGGAAGATAGTGTGGTTTTCTTAGAAATTGTGAAAATTAGAATTAGAAGTTGGGGTGAACTTAGAATATGGGGTGAACAAAGACAAGTGAGGGTTTAAATAGAAAAACTCTATATTTTTATGTTGTTTTCAAAGCAAACTAGACCTTTAGAAAAGCAAAAAAATTAAAAGACAAAAAAGACAAAAGAGAGTATAGCTCACGACACAACACAAATCAAAGACAGACTCTTTTTTACCCCTCTCCAGTCGAACTCTCTGTCGGTGGTGGCTCTTCTTGCAGTGACTCTTTTGCTCCTCTGGTTTGTGTTGGGGAAACACCGGTTTCCTCCTCGTCACAGCATATCCCGATAAGAAAAATAAATAAATAAACCAACAAGCTCAAGATGACAATGCGTAAATACATGAGAGAACACACCAAGAATTTACGAGGTTCAGCAAAAACCTGCCTGCATTCCCGGACAGTCTGTCAGTTTTTCACTATGAGAATAGTAACCGTACAAAATACATATTGAGTTAAATCAACATAACCCAATATAACACTCGAGTTTTATACCCAAACCCGAGTCTCTGGTACACCCACTCACAGTATTTCCCAAAGCACACTGTCACTTCCCAAAAGATATACCCTCCCTTGAACATTTGATGAACCCAGATAACTCCCAGCTGAAACATCCTCCAGGAGTTTATGGACTGCTTGCTTGCATCTCACAAGCAACCCACTCTCCTTCTCTGTCGTGCTCTCTATTGAACACCATGCTTTCTCACCACAACTCCCTTGTATGTAAACAACACACACACCACCTGAGTTGTTGTTCCCCACTTGATACCCAAGTGAACCCAAGCGAAACCCCTCTTGATTTTGCTGGAGCTCGTGGGACTGCTTGCTTGCATCTCACAAGCAGCCCACTCCCACTTACACTCCCGTAAGCCTCAACTCTCAGTTTGGATTTGACCCACAAGCACACACCGCTTGCATGCCCCACACACTAAATAAATCAGCTGCTGTATATTAATAGGCCATTTGCTCAATGTGAAAAGCAAGACTTTTCTCATACTCTACACCAGTGTCGGCAGCCTCAAGTGAAGACCTAAATATGTTCAATTTCAACCACTCATTTAATGCAACATGACTTCCTCCAAAACCAGAACTTGCTGCCCCATTTACTACACCACATGGGAATTTTACCAATGTCAACAGTTTGCAACACAAATTCCCTTTGATCTGCTGTGCCTTGCCTTTCCATTTCTCTATCTTTGTCCAAAATTAAAACTCACCCACCCATTACCATCGCTGTAACCCATCAACCCACCTCTATCTCTCTCTCTCTCTCTGTGGGGACTTTTCTCGTGCACGTTCAGTGCACTCAAGGGGTCAACAAGCTGCTTAAACTATTTGAAAATGTAATTTTAAAGAGTTGCCCTTGCATGGACGGTGGTTTGTGTTGTCTAGTTTTCATAAAGGTGATATTATATTAGATGCTTTGTTGTTGATGCAAAAGACAGTGGTCTCGAGCATCTCAAAATCTGATTATCTTGTGTTTGAAGAATCAACAAGACCAATAGCAAATAACAAAAACAAACTTAATGGTTGATAAGCCTCAGCCATTTACGTGACACTTATCTGCTTAGGCTAATAGAGTTCTGCTGTATCATGACTTCTGTAAAAGCAAATACAACTCTCGTCTAGAGAGTACGGTTTTGGGACCATAGTTTCAATGGTTACATGACACCAGATGACTAAGGGGGTGTATTCAATTTAGATTTTAAAAGATTTTAAAGAAGTTTAAAAGTTTAGGTGTATTCAATCACGATTTTATAGAAGTCTATTCAATTCTTGGTGTATTCAATTCAGACTTTTTAAACTCCATTCAAATTTGGATGTATTCAATCATGACTTTAAAAGACTTGATAAAAGTTTGGGTGTATTCAAAAACTCATTGATTTTAAAGGAAATACAAAAAATGGATTTCGTTTGATAATAGACTAATTTTAGGCCATGACAAATCTTTGCTTCCCCCTAGAGATTTTGATAGATATATTATTTTATTCTCAAAATATGATTTTTCACCACTTCTACTACCACCATCTTATCAAGACTATCACCATAGTCATCATCGTGCCACCACCACCACCACAGTCATTGTCATTGTCGCCGCCACCACCACCGCCATCTCCGCCACCCCCTAGCACTACCACCATCCACCGCTGCCCCCACTACCAGCCACACCATCACCCCCACCATCACCACCACTACAACCAACGCCATCACTGCCACCGCCGCCGCCTCCACCACCATTGCTGCCATCGCCACCACCCTTACCCCCACCTCCACCACCACTACCACCCCCGCTATCAGCCTCACCGTCACCACCACCACAACCACTGCCAGCATCATCACCATAACTGCCATTGCCACCTCCACCTCACTCCCACCGCCACTACCACCCCCACAAACCACCATCGCCACCGTCATTGCCATCACCACCATCGCCATCACTATAAACTCTATTAAAATCAATAATAAATTTCTAAAACACTCAATTAAAATCTATACACAATTTCAGTCAAAATCTATATGGAGTTTGTAGAATTCAGTCAAACTCAATTAAATTCAATTAAACTCCATCAACTTTATAACTCTTTTAAAATAATTTAAAATATAAATTGAATACACCGTACTAAATCATGTTTTAAATCTTAACTTGATTTGTTAAGTGCACAAAATTACACAGAACTAGTATAGAATAATCATTTCAATACATTCGCTAAACGAACCCTAAAATTAATTGAGTACACCCTATGATCTAAGTACACCATAATATTTAAATCAAAATATAAAATTAACTAAATACACCCTATTTAACTACCAAAAATACCCCTAATACACCCTATTTAAATAAATTTAAAAACTAATAATACATATTTACAAATGAAATAATTAAAAAGATTTATTTATCAAAATAAAATATTTAAAAAAACCTACCCAATCCCCCACAAGAACTCCATCAGCACTCTGTATGTAATGATTTAAGATTAATGATGGAGCAGGTGTTTCTGGAGTAAATCAAGTTATCCACAAGCTTTCCAGAAGGGCACTACGACCAAATTTATCAATTGTCTTCCTTTCAGATTGTGGGTTGGATTCAACATGCTCTACATGATTTTTCTTGCGTTTACCTAGAGAAGAGTTAGAGCTAGCTCTGTCTTTCTTTTTATGAAACGAAAAGTTGCATGGATTCTTTTCCTCTGCAGATTTAGAGTTGCCTTTCTCCTAAATACCTGCTGCTTTCTCAGATGAACTCTTAGATCGGGCTGCTGAACGTACTTCATTTCCAAATGAAGATTTTTTGAACTTCTCAACTGAAAGAAAAACTGTCTAAATTAATTTTCTCCCCATGATAGGCTTTTGGAGTAGTATTTAGCTCAAGTTTTGCTGATATTTCTCTTATTTGATGATTGTCATTCAACATCCTTGCTTCTTGATGCTCTACTTTGGGCAATACAAGGACTGAAAAATTGACTGGAAAATCTTTTCAATTGACTGGAAATAATTAAAAAGTTTTGTTTGATTAGGGTTGAATATGGTAAGTAGGATGTAGTTATTAAAATTATATTTGTTTCACAATTCAATATATCTTTTTTGGTCATTTTGTATTAGGGTAAATTAGTAATTCAATAAATATTTAGGTAGTAGGGTGTACTCAGTTAATTTTAGGGTTCGTTTAGCAGCACTCATTCCATATCGGTTACCAGTTGTTAGAAGAAGATACCAGATGCTGTTGTTGAGAGTCCCAACAATTTTTCTTAAATATTTAGATATATTATATTCTTTTATTTAATATTACCTCTCAAGTGAAGTACCATTAATTAGGTAAATGACCCATTAATGATCCCCACCTGCATGAGAAATCAAATTATATATCAAATGACAAAATTCATAAGGAAAAAACTTGTTGACAATTTACAACATACATGTACTTCATAGGTATTTTACAGCATTATATGTTCTAAAAGACAAAGTGTGCTTGTGTTTGTGAGATAGAGAAAGTGAGAGGAGGAGGGAGAGATGAAGCAGATTTACAGAAGATATCCAAATGCAGTTGTGTTTGCTATGGCTTCCATTGCTATGGTTTATATGGTTCTGATAAAGGGTTCAAAAGGAACATCTTGGTTTGATTTTTCGCCGTCTCCATCTCCATGGTTGAGTACCAGTGTAGATAGGAAATCTGATTCTGCATTCACATTCAACCACAGTTCATCACACATGGTATTCTACTTATTCAAGTTTGGTAACTTTATCTGTTGGTTTTTATTTTCTGCAGAATTTCATTACGTTGCAGACATGTTTAATCAAATTTGACCAATTTAATCTTGTAGGATGCAGCAAGAAGGCAGAAGGCATTGCCTGATCTTGAAAGGAGCTACATTGGTAATTCAGTTTTGAAAACAGATAAGCAGAAGGGAGATGTAAACCTGGAGAAACTTGAAGCTGGTCTAGCTACTGCCAGAGCATTGATAAGGGAAGCAACATCAAAATTCAACCATACAGCTCTTGAAGACGCAGATTATGTTCCACAAGGCGATATATACAGGAATACTTACGCCTTTCACCGGTACTCAATGCTCCCAACAAGAACCTTTGAATCTTTCAATAAATCCTAGGAATTAAATTGCCTTACTCTTCAGTTCTGTCTTAATTTGTTTCAACTATGTAGGAGTTACCTCTTAATGGAAAGCCTGTTTAAGATATATGTCTACGAAGAGGGAGAGCCGCCTATATTTCACAATGGCCCTTGCAAGAACATATACTCTATGGAGGGGCTCTTTCTTAGCTTCATGGAAACTGATACCAAGTTCCGGACTCTGGACCCTGACAAGGCTCATGTCTATTTTCTCCCATTCAGTGTTGTGATGATCATTGAGTACCTGTTTCATCCAATTATTCGTGACAAAGCTGTTCTAGAGCGAACCGTGGTCGATTATGTTCGTGTCGTATCGAATAAGTATCCATTTTGGAACAGAAGCCTTGGAGCTGATCATGTCATGCTTTCTTGCCATGATTGGGTAAATTTCTTACTAAGGCAATATAGGGATCCCTGAAGAAATCTTAATGGGGATCCCTGAAGAGCAATATAGAAGAATGCAGAAGAGAGTGAAGCAAGTGCAAAGGCATTTTGTGGTGAACAATCCCCCCAAGAGATTTCATGTTTTTCATATGATTATTCATTCAATCTGGCTTAGGAGACTGAATGTGCGCATTTATGGTTGATTTCTATCCCACCAACCATCACACAATATCCTTTTCAAAAATCAAGTTTTGAGGTAAAAGAAAGGTTCCACTTGTCCTACGCTTTAATTAATTACATCATCTGATATCGACTTCAGTCATCCAACTTGGGTATCATTTAACATTTTTTCCATTCTAATAATAGTTTTAAAAAAAATAATTGGCCGAACATTATAATAATAGTGTTATTGTCAAGATTATGTGCTCTACAAAGGTGATTGTTGGGTCCAAAAAGTTGGTCCATAATGCATGGAAAAGAAAGGTTAATGGACAACTAGAGTCAAAACACAAATGTATTTCCACTGGTAAACCTTTTATTAAGACTTAAAAAGGTTGGATTTTTGCAAACGATCCACTAGTGTAGTGGTTTAGTGTAAATCTCCCAAGAAAGGTCTTAGTTCGAATCTTAGCATATATGTACGTAGTGTGTGTGAGTTTAGTATGCTATTGCCCCTCTCAATAGAAAAGGTCCCAAAAAAAGGTTGATTTTTATTTATGAATTGAGGGTTAAAGCTAGTGAATAGTTTGACGATCGGCTATACTCTTTATATATATACTGTGATCCTTTTTTTTTTTTTTTTAAATTTTATTCCCTGATTTTCTTTTATCGATAAGGGTAGTTTAGAGCATTATCCAATACTATTAGGCCATTACCCGAGTCTCTATTGTCCCATTTTGATTTTCTTACTTTTGCAGAGTTATTACCGATATAAGAATTTAGCATTTTCAAGTTTAATGCTTGTATTATACACGCATGTACTTATTTTTCAATTATACATATGTTTTCTGTACACTTCTTAAAGACTTAGTATAATATACCTTTTTAGAAAAATCAAACGTACAATATTTGTATTGTACACGTATGTATGTATTTTTCATGTTTAATACATGTATTTTTAACAACATTTTCAATAATACACACAAAATTCACGTATTATACACAAAAATTTCACATATTATTGAATAAAAATAATATATATTTTAAATTTTAAATAAATTATATTAAATATTATATAGTGGCTGAACTTTTCAGTTGTAATTTGCCAAAATTTTGCCAAATAAAAAACATATGTATTTTATTCGTATTTTTCCCGTTCCGCATTTTACTAATTATGAACGAATGTAAGAGGCTAAGATTACTTCTAGCAAATTAATATCTATACAGTATAAAATAATGCAAGAAAATAGTAGAGCCGCTTGGCTATATGTTTTTTAACACGGTGGGTCGTCCTTTTTTTTTTCAAATTATAAATAGTATAGCCGGCCGGCTATACTCGAGTATTTTTTATAAATAAAAAAAACAGGTATAGCCGTGCGGCTATACGGCTTTAAACACATGGCACCTAAGCGCTAGGAGGGACTGTAATTTTATTTGGTCAATTGATTAAGAAATTTGGAACTAACAAAAGAATTATTGATCTATCTAACTAGCAATGGAAAAGAAAAATATGAACAATTTGTATTGAGTTGGTTTTCATTCATTTTCAGTACTAGCTATTAGTGGTTGCATTTTCTGGGTCCATCACAACAAGGAACTAATAAAAGTCAGAAGTCTAACCATTGGTTGGTTTTGAATTGCACAAATGAGAGAGACTTTTAGGATATAAAAGCTTCTTCCACCAAGATGCAGATACGGGGGATCTTCATGAGTGATGACAAAATACATTTTGTGCTAGGACTATTGACTTTCATCGTATAATCTTTAATTTTCCAATTTTGTATTAATTCCCAAAGAATACCACAACATGGTAGCCTCTTATGCTTGCCCCATTCTACCTATCTAGAACCACAAATAGTGTTACACATATATTATATACATACCATCATTACTGAGAAAAACTTATATGAAACGGGTTCGTGTAATTCATTTCTTTATCATCATCATCATATCATATGAACCAGTGATGTGAAAGCTAAAGAGGGAGGAGTTATATATGTGAAAGCTCTTTACTTAATATATGTGGTATTCTATTCAAGCTAAACAGTTTTAATGACAATTGTTTGTTGTGCAAGAAAAACTGATTAACCTGTCTGTCTCAGTTCATGAGCTGGAGACAGACAACCATGTTTTTTATTGGCAGACATGAGATAACCATGTTGAGTGAATGAAAAGTGATGTGTAGCATACTTTCATGTTAAAAAAGAAGAAGAAATTAACTGTGTCTAGCAATTCATAAGTGGTATTCTATACAAGTCAAGCCCTTCAGTGGGTGACTGCCTCTGCCTTCACAGAAAAATCCTTAATAACTTGAATTCCATTTAAGTTTAAAACTTCATATAATAGCAAATATATAAAAGGTCTATTAACCAAATCCCATCACACATCCTTTGCCTCTCTCTCTCTCTCTCAGCCAAAAAAGCCAGTAGCTTGAGAGGCCTTTGGCTAATCATCATATTCATCATTAACTAAGGACCAGAGCTCATGAAGGTATGTGTGAGACTGAGTTGGGGTTGAGAGAGAGAGAGAGAGAGAGAGAGAGAGAGAGAGAGAGAGAGAGATCCAGAGCCAAAGCTATGAAGCAATTCAAAACCTGGGTTTTATGCTAATTAAAAGTTGTTTTGATTTTGCAGCAAAAGGTTGTGATCAAGTTGTCTGTGCATGATGAGAAATCCAGAGCCAAAGCTATGAAGGCTGCAGTTGGGGTTGATGGTAATTAACCAACAAGACTCCACATGTTTTGAATCAAATGCTAGAAATTAACTCAAACAAACCCCATAATTAAATATATCTCCAATACTAATTAAAAATTAATTATTAATCCTATCCGTTTTGTGCTGATAGATATGTATATATTATATACAGGGGTGAACTCAGCAAGTTTGCAGCAGGACAAGGACCTAATAGAGGTGACAGGGGAAGGGATTGATGTGGTTCTGCTCACAACTCAGCTCAGAAAAAGCTTGAAGTATGCTGAGGTGGTCAGTGTGAACCCCGTGGAGGAAAAGAAAATTGAGGAAAACCAGGATAAAGGGAAGAACAAAGAGCCAGAGGCAACAATCCAGTATCTCATGGGCTGTCCTCCTCCTCAATGCATTTGCGCTCCTTGTCCGCCATACCAAGATTCCAGTTGCCCTATTTTGTAATTAATGGTAATGCATAAAGCTAGGCAGACCTACTACCATATTCTTCAATTTGTGTGATTTTCTCTTCAACTATGTTGTTTGTGTTGCAATGTTACTCCTATACATGTTGAGTGGTTTTACTACGCTTGTATCTGGTTCGCTGAAATAAATTCACGAAAATCAATTTTCGGGTCTTTTTCTAAGGAGACGGAAAATGGAGATTCATATCTCATGTTTGATAATGCTGTGAAAGAACCACGGAAATTTCATTTTATTTTCCTTGTCTATTTTTGGTTTTATGTAAGAGTACAATAGGAAATAAAATTACAAAGAGAAAATGAGATTATGTATATATGTTGCAAAAAATTGGCAACAACTTTCCAATAGGCGCACCATCCTAGTACATGCTCCACATCTTTTTGGGAGCTCATAATTCGGTGCTGCATACATCCTAAACACGAATGACTTTCCACTTGTCCTACTGCTTTGCTTTGATTGATCCGATGTCCATAAATGTGTATTGTCATCCAATCATGACTTTAATTACGTAACTTGATATCAACTTTTCGTGAACCACAACGTCATCCAAGATATTATTATAAAGACTATGTGTGTTTTTTTTTTTTAACCTTTCTTTCTACAAAGGTTATTGTCGGGTCCCAAAAAGTGGCATGGAAAAGAAATCTTTCTACAAACGTGATTGTTGGAGTCTCAAACAGAAGAAATTATTTCCACTGGTAAACCTTTCATTATTAAGACTTAAGCAGGGATTTATGACTTGAGGGTTAAATCCAATGAGTATGGGTTCTATTTTTGTCAAGCATTCAAACTCTGAACCGCGTGGCTTTCAACAGGTTCACACTTGACTCGGTCTAGAAAGAAGAAGAAGAAGAAGAAAGTACAAAAGTACAAAAGCGTTGTTAATTTTGTGGCGACTCTTTCTTTCCAAGCTCTTTCTCTCATTTTTCTCTTCAACTACCATCTTCGATCACATGATTCATGTTAGGTGTGAAATTAGGCTATTTTCCACGAACAAGATTATCGTGGTGCAGTAATTTTCTTAAATTTACCAAAAAATGTTAAACGAATCATATTAGATCATCATTTAATGTGACGGTTGGGGAATTACTACTTTAATTTTATGTGGAATAGGTTGAATGGTTGCTACTTTTACCCATTATGAAGTTATAGAATTTTACAGAGTATAAAAATAAATAAAAATTCTTGAGTTTCACATTAATATAATTGAAAAATCATAAATTAAATTGATTAAGGAGAAGCAGTTGATCTTCGTTTGCAATCTTAGTTGGGATGCCTACGCCATAGTTTCTTCAATCTTGCGTGATCGCTAATGAAGGCGCACCAGATTGTCTTAATTTTGATGTTAAATCACTCCGTTATTTAATGGCCGCTAGTGACTCTTTTAGCTAAATTACGATTGCAATTCCAAAATTTCTCCAAAAAACAAAAACAAAAAAGAGAAGCAGTTGATCTCGTATTCATTTTTTATCTCTCATATTTGTAACTCGATCAATTAAACTAGGTTCAATTTTTTTAATGAACAAAGAGTGAGAAAGTATGGGAACTCCATAGATGCATCATCAAGTCATATTGAGCCATCGTAATCATAATAATATAGCAAACAGTAGAACTTGTTTTTAGTTTGCATTACGTCCATATGCTTACTTTTCTACATAAACTTCTAATATTAATCCAGAAGCAGGTTCATCTTGAATAAATTAGTCGTATTAAATTTATGAATAAATCACATGAAGGAATCTTTTTTCCCATTTAATCATGAGGATAAGTTTAATAAAGTGTACATGGTCGATTTTCAGGGCTTGATGTATATGATTTTTAAATAAACTTGTCGTCTTTATCTTCTTTTGTTTTTGTCGATGGGAGAGTGAAATTCAAACTTAAGAACTCTCTTCCACTAAAGTTAGAAATAGTGAAGTCTTAATTTCGTCAGCCCTTGTGGGAGCCAAAATTTATTTTCAGGACAATATATACCTTGAAATCAAGTGAGGATCGAGACACATCATTAGAGTTTAGAGATAAGAAGAAAATACAATTGAATTGAGGAGGGCTTTTCAATCAAATTAGAGATTAAAGATACTTTTTATTATTATTGTACTTTAAGATATACATAAACAAGAGAAGATAATTCCGGAAAAAAAGAAAAAAAGAAGAGATATCCGACCATTTTATTAAATTTAAAACGACATATGATGTAATTTGCTTTTTCGTTTTGTTTAATTTCACTGAACAATATTTGTCGTTTTAATAACTTTGTGGCACCTCTTGTCCTTTCAGAAAAGTTGTGGTCCTTTTTATTTTATTATCTGAAATAGAACGGTCAGGATGAAAGGGAAAAGTGTTTGCAATTACATATCAAATTCCTCGTAAAGTAAAGAACACGACAAACTGCTTGAGGTAACCGACACAGATGTGTCAATTGACACCGAGTTCATATTTGGGTTGGCCCCCAACCCACACGTTATGTACAAGACTTGAAACTACAAACGATTCCAACTATTTTTACGGTTAGTTTTTCTTTTATGAAAACCCAAAAATTATCTTTCGACAGCTAAAAATTGCTTACGAAATTGGGAAAAAAACTTGCATATATCAGCTTGATATAACTCACTCAGATGTCTGTATCAGGAGCTACATTATATGTCACGTCACGTGTTGAAGTGTTGTAGACACAGAGATTATATCATCCTAGCGTATGCAATTTTTTATACGTGACCGAGAAAGAATTTGTCGATGCCAATAAATTCATCCTATTGGAAAAATGCAACTTCATTTTGCACTCTGCCTGGTAAAATGATGTCATATCTTTTGCTAACGTAAAATGGTGTGAGATTGAATGTCTTGTTGAATTAGTGTGATAAAAAAAATTAATGTGAGATTGAATTTCTTGTTTTCTTTATTCTGAAGTCAGTGTTAGGACTTTAGCATTGATTGTTGACCCTTACTTCTTAGGTTTTGGTAGAGAACGAGTGTGAATGCATTACTCATACTAGTCCATGAATCAAATTGACCTTCAACATCAACCGTTACACTTCTCCATCTAAATTATAATTGAGTCATATTTATCATAATCCAAGAAATGGAATCAAATCTCATATATTTTATTTTTTTTCGAATGAAAATAAAGAATTAGACAAGAATAACTCCTTAGTGAAGATCACATGATGCAAACGTCCACTCTCGATCCCGAACAAGAGAGAACCTACACTTTTAGGATATAGATGCTACAAATTACAATTTCAAACCAGACCGAGTCTTTTTTTTTGGGGTCAATGAGTCTTCTTCCACCATCATGCAGGGATCTTTATGAGTGATGACCAAATAAATGGTGTGCTTAAGACTATGGACTACTCGTATACTCTTCTAATTTTTCCAGTTTTGAATTCTTCCCAAACAATGGATTAGACCTAAACCATTTCATGGTCACTAATGCATCAGTCAACATATCACTGACGAGAAAAACTTACATAAAACGAGTAAATGTAACCATTCTCTTTATCTGACTCGACATATGAACAAGCAATGTAAGAACTAGAAAAAACAGATTACATGACCTCGTAATTGATATCGTAACCGTTTTCCATTGCGGCCCTATGCCACAAGAGAAGACCAATATTGTGCCATTGATGTTGCTAATATATGCATATGAAGTGGCTTTTATTAGGATTAAAATCATGTGATGACTTAATGCTTCACAAACTTCTTTTTATTTATGACAATTATGTATTTTTCTTGCAGAAGGTTTGTTGCGCAAGAAAAATTGATTCACCTGCCTCAATTCATGGGCATGGATTAGGTGAGTGAAAAGTGATGTGTAACAGAATGCTTTTAATAGATCATTGCGTCTATCAATTCATTAATGGTATTTTGCATACAGAACTTGGATTATTAGACCAAGTCATATTCATTGACAAGTCAAGTCCTTCATTGGGTGATTAAACTTCACAGAAAGATCCATAATACTTTGAGGGTGGTGATTTTCCCACTCCCCTTTTGTCCACTTACACTCCCTTTTGGTTTTTAATGGTTTTTACTATAACAAAAAAGGGAGTGTAAGTGGATAAAAGAGGAGTGGAGAAATCAGCTCTCTACTTTGAATGCCATTTAATCTTTTTGTGAAGTCATAATTTGTTGTTGCATACATCCTAAAGTGAAACACAAATTACTTTTCATAAAAAAGAGAACAAAGAAACATAAATGTTACAATCTACACTTACATGTAAAACAAATACACATCATATATGATATAGCCAATTTCATAATGAGGTAGCCAATGGGAAGTTACCTAAGTGGTTCTCATTTCTCATCAGCAAAGCACTTGGCTTGGGTCACCAAAGACTCCGTCCAAGAGGCCTCTCTATAAATACCAAATCCCTTCTCACACTCTTCACCAATTTTCCACAACATAATAGGACACAACCTCTTCCACGCTCTCTCTCTGTCTCCACCATCTATCTCCCAAACCCAAAAGAGCCGGTAGCTTGAGAGATCTTTGGCTCATCATCACAATCTTCATCAGTTAAGAACCAGGGAACATGAAGGTATGTGCGAAACTGAGGTCCATGCAAAAGATATATGCATTGTGGGAAACAGAGGAAGAAATTCAAGACTTGGGTTTATGCTAATTGAAAGTTGTTTTGGTTTTTTTGCAGCAAAAGGTGGTGATCAAGTTGTCTGCTGTGCATGACGAGAAGTCCAGAGCCAAAGCTATGAAGACTGCAGTTGGGGTTGATGGTAATTAGCCAAAACTCTATCTTTTTACAACATTCTGAATCAAAACGCAGAAATTAACTCAAACACAATAATTAAATATATCTCCACTACTAATCAAAGATCAATTTTTAATCCCATCTGTTTTGTACTGACATATATGTACATGTGATATACAGGGGTGAATTCAGCAAGTGTGCAGCAGGACAAGGGCCTAATAGAAGTGACAGGGGATGGAGTTGATGTGGTTCTGCTCACAACTCTGCTCAGAAAAAG